ATATAATAAAAAAATTTAATAAAATAATATTGATTGGATATGACATTTGATATAAATAATAGAAATCCAATTCCCTATTCATTCGTGTCATTAGCATTCCCCTATATTTAAAGTTTGAACAAATAATTAACAAAAGTGCATTGATACTTGCGACTTGTATATTCCCAAAGTAGTATTAGTATATATATATATATATATATATATATATATATATATGATATGATATGTTAAAGAGTATTAAAAATGTCGTATTTCTTTACTAGTTAAATATATCTATATAATAATGACAAATTAATAAACTAAAAAGAACACGAAAACAATTCAAGTAATTGTCCATGCTTTTATATGTTTTGACTCCTTCAACCCAACCATAAATGTTGTCCGGCGACGCACCAGCACTAGCACTAGGACTAGGACTAGGACTAGCTCTAACCAAAGAGACCTAACTTTTGCACATGACCAAATCAAAAATGGTCATAATGCATGTGTTTAGGAGTTTATTTGAAACATACAAAGATAACACAAACCCTTTCTAAAGGACCATTCAGTCTAACCGGTACCGGTTACATCACTTGGGATATTATTTTCCTGAACACTGGTCTGGGTCAGTAGGACCCATTTGTAGCTTTAGATGGTTTGACCAAGACTGCTTGGGACCAGCCCGAGAACCACCAGTTAACTGGGTTTGCCCAGATCTACACACAAGCCTTGCACCTTACCCCAAATGTCCAAAATATCTATTTCTAGTGTTTAGACATGTGACGAGAGATATGAAGGATGACATTGAAACCCAATTCACCTCATATTTGTACTAATACAATGAGATCTTGAACATATACAACAGAAACAAACACTAAGAAACCGGAAAGAAAAATACAATCATAACAAAACCAACTTCTTCAATCTACAATTAAGAAAATGTACAATAGGGGAACGGATTCCTTTAGCCGCCTCGGAAGTCATATGGAAAATGCAAAAACAAACTCCTGGGAATCAAATGCAGAGGTAAATGTTAGAATCAAGGCTAAAGGTAAAAGAAAGCAAAGCAACTCCAAACTAACATGCAACATTGTGTTCAAGTCAAAGGCATTTTGGCTCTTCTTTTTCCTTCTATCCTAGAATTACATTAAGAGTTGTATTAAATTATCTTCCCTGATCTAATAAATATAGCACGATAAAACACAGGATCAATGAGAGAGCTCAAATGAAGGTGACTATATCTAACCACTTCACATAAAATGGAATGGGTATTTACTTCTTTGTAACCTTAAGACTGTCCATTCAAAACATTTACCAAGATAGTCATTTTTCATTACACTGCGTCATTCAGAGCCTCTTAATTATTTTGACCACTAAACCATAATGTGCCAAATCGTTCAACTCCCAAACAGCCCCCAAAGTCATTAGGGATCTTGTGGAAGCTTTAGATAACTCTCAGTGGAATGTATACCATTTCTAGGTCAACCTCAATACGAAGTTTTATGTCCTATGCATTATTATTACTAGTTTGTTGGTTTTGGATTATTGACTCAGCTACATTGATCTAGAAAATAAAAAATATATTTTCTACTAGACCTCATACAAGTTGTTGATGGTTCAGTAACGGTTTTATGAAGTAAAGTCAAATTGCATTTGCATCAGTAATCATATTCACAACCCACAAGGACATTCGGATCACTTGAATATCAACATCTTCCCTCAATGTATTTCAAGAAGAGAAGTTATACATTGATCAACCACCGTTTTTTTTAGTCTAAGAAAAGGCTTATAAAGAACGTTAGATATAACAGCCAAGTTTGAATGTGGGCGAAAAGCCAATTAAATAAAGATTTGGCCCAATTCACACTCTCACACAAGTTAGCTTTTATTTCCTGGTAACTTTCTCTCTTTCACACCCTTTTCACATGCCCCAAGTATTTCTTTTCCCGGAAAGGAGGTGGCACTCCTGGCAAAAAAAACAAAAAGAGACAAACACCTAAAGGCGAGGGAATGCCCCAAGTATTAATGGGAACAACTACTCTATTCTATGGGGTAAAGGTCAAATCCGCGTACATCTTACCCCCACAAAGCCCCACCTTTGGGTGAAATATGCCGGGTTCATTTGATTTGGTTTGGCTTATTTTATATAACCCTCATCATCATACACAGGAATAAATCTGCAGCAAATCTGAAGGGACGGGGATGTGTACATTTGATGATCTTCATACGGGCATTAACAATATCCAGAGCTCAGTTTGTAACAATAAGTTGTTCTATAGAAATAAAGAGAGAAGCATTGTTCTAGTTGTGTGTGTAGATGATACTCTTATTACGTAATTTGATATTTATGGCATTGGTGGTTGAGGAAGTTTATTGGTGACTTGTTTCATAAGTTTAAATAATTGAACACATTGATAATTTCTAGGCATTGAGGTGTCTCGATCCTGAGATGCCATATGCTTCTTTCCCAAAGGAAGTAGGTTTATTGATTTCATGTTTAAGTGCAGGGTGTAAACTTACCTCATGTATTAACCCATGGTTAAGAAAGTCACACCTCAGGAGTAAATGAGACAGTCCAATTATTATCTTACTATTATTGTAGCCAAATATTGCAACTAAGTTGTGCTCTCGAAGGAATTCATGCTGACACACCCTATACTTTTTTCTGATTAACCTGGATATTCAACCCACTATGCGAGCCGACTAATCCCACGCGTCCTGCTTTGCGGGTAGCCGGAGTCACTGCATTTAAACCTCCGTGGCCACAAGGGAATTTTTATTCCTCCTTGGATTGGGACCTCCGGGCACTTTTGACCTTTGGAGCCTAAGCTCAAACCAATCAGGCACCACCCTTGTGCACACATACCCTATACTTTAGATCATGGTGATTGTATTTCATGAGCTTTGGAAAATGACCATTTAAAATCAGAGGTTTCTAGGACGGTCATGGAGCAGGATCCCCCATTACTTATGCACACATACATATTTATACATATACAATACATATTTATACATATAAACATCACATATACACATATACATATATAAAACCAGAAGTTTCTCGTAAGGTCATGGAGCAGGATCACCCATTACTTATGCACACATACATATTTATACATGTACAATACATATTCAAAATCAGAGGTTTCTCGTACGGTCATGGAGCAGGCTCACCCATTACTTACGCACACATTCACATTTATATATATACACATACAATACATATATGCACACATACATATTACATATATATGCCTACATACATGCATGTGCAACCACACATGATAACCTCACATGCCTGAAAAGCATGAACAATATAGTGGGTACTAGTTCTACTACAGACAGAGCCGGTCCTGGGCCCAGGGCGGAAAAGCTAAGAAATTCCCCTAGTATATAAAAAAAACAAACGAATCATGTTATTGTTTTTGTCAAGCAAGCAGTCCATCCTCGTGACGATTTTTATTAAATATAATAAAATAATACATGCCCTGAATTATATAACCTAAAACGATGTCTTCATGCAGTTTTTAAAGCAGAAACATCAATTATTTCACCATAGTAAATGTTTGCGAAAATCTTATTTCCGATGCTAGGAATTATAACCCTTCAACCTATCTTGACTTATGATAGTCCACAAATATGAATTTAACAATTTAAAGATTACAACAAAACCAAAATACAAGAAAGTAACTACCTTTATATTATCATCTGGATAAAATCAAAAAGAATATTACTTTATAATGGGTTTTATAGTATTTTTTGCATATTAAATTTTTACGATTAATAGGAAAAAGTAAAAATGATTAAATATGAAATAAAAACTCATCTGCTTATCTTAGTTTTGATAGAGAAAAGCATATGGATCAAAATATTTAAATAAAGTATACGGCTGGGTCATTTTGGATAAATATTAATTTTCCCTCCCTATTCACTCTCACCTAATATATTATTGATGCCCCGGACTTAATTACTGCCCAGGGAGGTTGCCATCCTAGGGCCGGCCCCGATTAAAGTGTAAGAATAATGTGCTATGACAAGAGTTCACAGCTAGATAACACAAACCACAGGTTTTGAGTCTAGCAAACAGTCTTCTGATAATCAAGCAGTCGTCATAAAGATAAGTATTGTCTTGAGGTGGACTTCCATTTGGTGCACAACATTATAGGGACAAAGATAATATCCTCATTTATATATAGGGTTGTTTTGGTGAGAATGGAAGTTATGGTAAGAAGAGTAAGAAGGGATCTCCACCCTTGGATCAATCCTAATTGAAGATCAACAATAATGCGGTGCACCGAGATGCACCTTACCAATTACCATGGTAAGTGCAATTCATGGGGTGGGGGTGAGATTAAAAGTGACCAAGGGTTCAGATCCCTTCTTATGCTTCTCACCTTAACTCGTATTCTCACACGATCCTTCGTCTATATAGAGAGAGAGGGGAAAATCATCAATTTTTTGACATCATGACAAAACCTATACCCAAACCTCAAAGCTTCTATATGTTCCAAGTAGAAATTGAATAATATCTACATGCCATCCTGAGGCAGAATGTAAAAAATGTGTGTGTACACATGCATTCGCGTTAAGGCCATGAACCTACTTCTGAGTTGAACTGAGTATCATATTTTAGCATAATTACTTGCATTACTACCCGAGGATGTTACAAACAAAAAAAGTTACTGTTCCATATAATTTAGTTTTTCACAATAACTAAAAAAGCAGACATTTTGTTTTAGATAATATTTTTATGGCATGCTCCTTAAGCAATCTTACAACTGAAAAGTAAATATATTGAAACCTTCTTACCTAAATGCAATTGCATCCAGTGGTGCACAACTTGAGGGTGGTTCCATAATCACCATAGTGACAGGAAGAGATCTGCTCAACTTTTGAAAATGATCAATTGGCTATCGCTAATTATTGATCTGCTTCAGCAGTAACTCTTTGGAGTAACAACTCAAGTTGTGCTGGAACTGGGTCCTGGGAATCACTCAAGTTGGCAGAAGGCAATGATCTAATGCATCCAAGAATATGTTGAATATCACAAGCAAGCCTGCCATAAAGAATCTCCACCCAAAGAAAATACATAAGATCACGAAAAATCATAGTAGACAAAAACAGAAATTACGATACCCCATATAGAAACAGCTACAGAGGATGAAGAGAAGACAAATTTAGGAGTATGAGAAATAAATGGGGTAAATTGCACTCAAATGAATTTTTTAGACCTAACTAAAGCTTGATTTTGAGGGGAAAACCCTTCAATCAGTACATAATTTATCTTACAAATAAGAGAACCATCATTCTCATAGAAATATTCCTCCTGAAGCAAAGATATTATTTATTAAAGTCTGGTTAAAATCCAAGAGAAAAACATAGCTGCATTAAAAGACAGCCTACTTGGCTGTATTTTCACTCAAATACAAAGGCTACCAATGGTAGTAGTCTGTAAAAGAAAAAAGAAGTTCAAGACTACCACGACTGTATTTCAGTGCAAACGCAGTCAAGTTAGCCGCATCTTAGTGCAATTTTGTTTTCCCATATTCCAAATCGTTGAAAGAAGTACACCCTTTAGTTTCTCTACATTCAAAATTGAAGCAATTCATATGCACAATCTATTATGGTGAGATGTAAAAATTTCTTATCAGAAATAAAGAACATGTTTAACACTGAACTTTGAGCAACAGTCTTGTATTTTGCAACAAAGGTAGTACTTATTTAGAATTACTCAAGATGAAAATTAAAACTTAAGAACCTGGCTCTCGCTTGTGGGGTGCTAATATCTACACGTGAAAATGCATCGGAGATTTGTATGTCGAAAGCGATAGTCACTTCTCTGCAGGAGCCAAGCAATGAAATTAGTCAGCCCTTCAATGGATGAGAATATTAGTGATGCTAACCTGTCATTGTAGATGGATGAATGCAGTACAACAAAAATACACTTATCAAATGTATTTTAACATGTCTTTCAACTCATCAAGCAACTAAATGGAAAACTATGAGTAGTTCCTGATGTCAAATGGTTTGGAAAACAGCTTAAAGAAATGCACATGCGAACGAAATCCAGATCATTGAACAGGGTGTCAAAGCCATACAGACCACAACTCATGTATCCAATTCTACGTAAGGGGGGACTCAATCCCAATATCTAGCTCAAGAAGAAATATTGCCCTAGTAATGAGCACCACAAGAACCCCACTCTAAATGATTAGCTACAAGAAACTTGGTGTGGATTATAAATGAACTAGGCATCTTCTACCCTTGACTCTTGAGCTAGCTTTCAGGGATGGTTTCTACCAGGCAGTCAGGCACATAGTCAATGTTCTCGTGCTTCTTCAGTAGGCAATAAAATTGGAACAGTCGATTAAATGTAGGTAAATACCAAGACTCAAATTAATAATGTTTTGTCTACTACAAGTACTATGATGCAACAAGCATACCTTTCCTTTATATTTTTATTTTTATGGTGCAGAGAAAGAAATGTGATTTATTTAACAATAAAATGTCAACAACTCGCAACTTTCATCCTCATAACCATGATCTTCAACTGAGGACAACTCTGCAAATATAGTGGCTAAGATGAGTTCGAGGAAAAACAGGTTGCCTGAGTTCGAGGAAAACAGGTTGCCCTTTTATTTTGTTTGTTTCTGTTCCAATGTATTTGTTTGTGTAGCTTGGTGACAGAAATAGACAAAGATAACAGCTAGCAAATGGCCAACATTCTGGAAAAAAATAAGTAAATGCTTTAGAATAATTAGAATTAGTCCCATACACATTATTCACAATTATGACCCCTCCTTCAAAACAAGAAGAAAAGACGTTTATCAGACAGTAAAGTTTTCTGGAGAAGACAACTTTAGAAACACTCATTAAGGACAAAGAGAGCTAGGGGCAAACTGCCATGCCAAATAGCTTAGAAACGTTATAAGGATTTTTTTTCTCAACCCCTTAGATGGCATTGTTACAATTTTTACAAGGCAGGTATCATAGAGGGTATTATTTGTCATTAACTTGGTGTGATGAAAAAGTGAAGTGTGACTAGATTCTTAGCACATTATAGTATGATAGTAAAAAGCCTCACCTGAATATTTCTTGAACATCCACCTCATGCAGATTCCGAGAAAGCACACGCTTAAGTAATCCAACTTCCTGATGATATAACAATGCAAAATCCATTAGCAATAGCAATATGAGTGCCACACAAGCAAGGTTATAGATTATTACGTCGTCGTTAAGGGTTCTTCATGTATGATATTTCAGGACCATTCATCCATTTGTTACTCTGTTCATCGTCACATTAACAAATGATGTGGGGGGTTTTGAGAATCATTATTTACATTGTTCATATTAAAGTTCTCGCGTCATTGTTAAGAGCTTGATTTGGTGGATTTCAGCAAGCAATTAATGCCAGTGGCAATGAAGATTCACAGGTTTACATATAGCAAAGAGCATCGGAAGAGCAGATAGAAACATTGGGAGGCCATTATGGTGCAATGCTGCAGCCGCTACCACCACCGCCGCCACTAGTTGATGATGTGAAGAGTTGGAATCAATTTCTTTTTTATTTGTTCCCACCTTGAGGACAAGATGAGAGTTAGAGACGGGTATTGTTATACCCTGGGCATTGTTGGTTAAAATAGGTGATTGGGTATGGTAGTAAAATAGTCAAAATAGTAGGCTGTGGTACAAGTGGCAAATGCACTACTGAAGTAGGTGAAGCAGTGGAGGGTTAGTCAGCATCTATAATAAAGGGTGGGAGTAGGTGTATCATGTATGGGGGTAAATCAGATTGTTCATCCAAGCTGGCAAGAGCCTTAGAAGACCTCAAAGGTTCTCGAATTGCTAGAACTACCTATAATCATTCATATTTGCATGAAATACACCGTGGTCTTACTCTTATTGATCCAGCTTACATCAAATTGTTCTTGAAGAACTGTGGTGCATTATCAGCTTCCCGTTGGGTGGTTTAGGAGGAGACTTCTAGGACTTGTAGGTCATGGTCCTTGTATGGTCTTAAGAAGACTACTCAATTCAGGTTTCCTTTTTGTCTCATGCTTTGCAGAAATCTCAGATAACACATCCTTCCCTGTCACTTCTTGGGTCTTGTGGGAAAACTTCTACATGGTAGAAAGTATGTCCTTAATATCTTGATTGAGGTTCGCATGTTTGACATTCGTGTAGCCCATTCTTCAGTAATCTGGAATGTCAAGCTTTATCCAGATGACAAGTCTCTTGAAGTTGAAGATCCAGGGAGGTCAACACATTAACTAGGAACTATGATATTGATGTTTTTGGCATGACAAGTCAATTCATGTTACCCATCATATTGATTGGTGAGGAACAAGATTATTAATCTCACGATTATGTATAATTTGCAAGAATAAGTATACACACACCCCCTGCAGATTATGACATACATGCATTTCTTACGATTATGTAGTTCCACAGTCCATTACCTTTGTGAGGTTCCGTGCAAATTGACTAGGTTGTACATCAGTTTCATCTGATCGGTGCCAAGTTTCAACAATTTGTGGAAGTCCACGAAGATGAACAAGCAACCTTTCTTTCATTATTTGCACCAGTTTTGTATGTATCTCATCTCGATGCACTTTATAATCCTAAAACCATGAAATTTCAATTTCTGTAAGCAAAAAGTAAGCCAACGCTAAAGATGACAAGTCCAACCAACTAGTAAGTATATTTTTGGAATAGATGGGTATGTATGCGCATGATGTATACATGTGTCTACTGGTGGAGGGAAATACAATCAAGATAGAAAAGAAACTTTCACATGCTTTTCCTTTTTTTTCCTCTGTGTCCCTCTTTTAGCTGACTTGGTTTTATTACTTGAGCACCATAAGCAACCATGCAGAAGCATTCCAGTTCAACATTTCTCCATTTTGTAAGTAACAAAAAAGCAAACATAAGGCCTTTTAATGCAAAGCTATATGATGCAGAGAAAAGTTTAAAAAATCAAATAAAAAATATTTCCATTTTCCAACTAGATGCTGCACCATAGGCATCTTCCCTTACTAATGACTTCATAGTTCCAGCTTTATCCTTTTGCATATAAAGGAAAAATCATATAGTCCCTTATTTCTCTTTTCACAGATTACACCAAAATTATTTCTATAAGAAATTTGAAACCCAAGGCAACTGAGGGTTTGCCCTCTATAGCTCTGCAAATTTGTACATATTTCAAATGGGTTGTTGATGCTGCGAGTTGAAAATAGGGAGAAAAGAGCAATATGTACAAAGATTGGAATGGGGGAAAGGAGGCTCCTTGTGGTCAGGCACAGGTTGTGGGATCTGGAAGACTGCTTCAACAGGGGAGCAAATGCACTTTAAGTTATAATAAGGGTATTCAGGTTAAACAGGTGTTTTCTTGCTTTTCATTCTATCATTTTTCTATGGGAGGGTAAATTAACGAACAAGCATAATAACTTTGTCCAATGGATGACAATGCGTACATTGCACTCACAAAGAGAACCATTTCTCTGGAATAGTGTGGAAGCTGAAAGTGAAAAAGCGTGATGATGTAAACGAACCGAACGAACACGAACAGAGGCCTGTTCATGTTCGTTCGTTTAACTCAAACGAACAAATACGAACAGTAAACAAACGAAAATCTTTGTGTTCGTGTTCGTTTAAAAATCAAGTGTGTTCGTGTTCGCTTATGTTCGTTCATTAACATGCTAAACGAGCGTAAACGAATGAACATAAACGAACGAGCAAAACGAACATAAAAGAATGAGCTAAACGAACATAAATAAATATTATTTAAATTCAAAGTAAATAAATAAAAGATTATATATTAAATTTAATATATAAACGAACATAAACGAACGAATATAAACGAACGTAAACGGACGGTAAATGAATGAAAGTTCACGAACATAAATGAACGAACGAGACTCTTGTTCATCTTCGTTCGTTTAACTAAACGAACAAAAAAAATTGTTCATGTTCGTTCATTTATTAAATAAACGAACATAAATGAACTTCCCGCCGAATGGTTCACGAACGGTTCGCCGAACGTTCGGTTCGTTTACAGCCTTAAGTGTGAATCTTGTCCATATTTAAGATACATATATATATATATGTGTGTGTGTGTGTGTGTGTGTGTGTATATATATATGGTAATGTTCATGCTATGTCAGCTAGGATTAATTCAAAATTATGCCAAGTATGTTCAGTGATGGTTCAGACAAGTTTTTGATTTGCTGAAATTTTAGAACAGATTAGATTTTACATAAATCTCAACATCACCAGAAGATACCTACCAACCACAATCCGAGAATCATAAATGACAAATAATGAATTTCTGTAACATGGGGTGACAATCAAGAAAAAGAAAAAAATCTTAAGCTCCCTAAACACTGTTGTACCTGCAACACTCTTTCAATTTCTGACAGCAACAATCCTTTTCGCGTCTCAGCTACTTTCACAAGAAGAACCCTCTTGATTTCTAAAATCCAAACAGATGAATAGGTTAATGCAAAAATTGAGAATGTTTACTTGCAATAGCTCATATATGTGTTCACAATGATAGCTTCATTAGTACACTTTAAGAAGAATAAATCTTTGGCAACCACCAATGTTACCACCAAATACATCACCAGTTGGCCTTTGATCCAATGGCCTCAGTGGATCTCTATAACCCTTAGGTTGCGTCTTCCAGTCATCAGTAAATCAGTTTGTTAACTATTTCACAGAAGTCATCAAGTTTACTTTTTTGAGAAGATAAGAGAGTAGCTATGACGAGAGAGAATGCATATTATGTTATTTATCAAACAATTGTGGTGTACTTGATGCTAAGATTTGGTAGTTGCTATAGATTTGCGCATATAGAAACTTACACCTAATTGTCATTAGAGGATCAAATTTATAAAAGATTTTGTTAATTAAGAGATCAAACAGATTTCACAAGTGCAAAGAGGAATCAAGCAACAACTTTTATCTGCAATCCTATTACTTAATGAAGTTATATCGCATTCACCAAATTATGAAACTTAGGAAATTATAACAACCAAAAATTATGCCCAATAAGTAAAACCCAAAAAAAATTCTTGATGACCCCTCCTATCTCTAGTATGCGTCGGTCTTAGGGTGTTCATATACAAATGGCATCTTTTCAAGCAACCCACCACCTACTCTATGACAGAGTTTCCGTTCATTTAACCATCAACAATTGAGCTTTTATGCTTTTCTATGTCAAACAGTCAAAGGACTTTTTGAGCTTAAAATCGGATTCCACAAGCAATCATTTTGCAACTAATGGAACTATTAAGTAAAACCCAGAAGAAACTATTAAAAGCTGAACTCCCCTAGAGCATCGAGACATGAAAGCATCCTTCCACACTCGAATCTGAGGTAAACTCATAGGAATATTCCATATACTTCTCCACTACTTCTGTCAATGTTAATCTTAACAACAACCTTTCTTGGTAAGTCTCCTCTTAAAATGGTGCACCCAAGAAGTCAACGTTGAAGATTACCATACTATCTCAAGCGTTGTTGCCTCACATCTCCACAAGTGGTGCAACCCCGTTAATGTCTTGTGTATCATCAATTCATCATTTCTAATTGCAACATCCCGTTCCCGGGGGTATCGTCCTTTGCCCTTAGTACAAGTGAATGAAAGAAACTTCATATCTTAAACTTCTATTTCATTATAGTAGAGTTATTCCAGCAGCGGAAATGCGGAAATTTACAACTTATAATATTCTAACATCTTAGAATAGCAACACTTCAACTTGTTCCTACTCCTTGATTCCTGAGATACATACATGAATACGTAAGCTAAAAGCTTCGTGAGTAGTCATGGTTTCATGATAACACATTCTTTCCAAATAGTTAAACATAATTCTTAGAAACTTTCATGTATAAAAACATTTCTTTGAGATCTCATGGTTACATGTTAAGTAAACCAACTTCTCATAGGTTCTTTAACCTCGGGTCCACATAAGGGCTGCCCAATAAGATCTGTTTGCAAGACGTACCTACTTTCTATATCCCGTACGTTGGATATTTAAATGGTTATACTTGACATGTATAAAAACTTTCATATACCACATGTGCATCATGACATAAAAGGTGTACTTTGCCACATAATCATAACATAACTTTTACAAGAAGATATGGCAATACTCTTTCATCATGCATCAAACATATATATATATATATAGCATGTATGTATCCCTGGAAATCTCATAACATACTTGCCTTGATTATGCCTAGCTTTTCTCTTAATTCCTATGTTCAAGCTTGATTAGGTATAAAGACAGAGATTTCTTATTTTTGGTATGGAACTAATGGTAACACTTCAATCACTATTTATAGGTAAATTCATTGCATTAGCTACTTGTTCTTCTTGCTCACAAAATTGTACTTTTATGATAGTTTTACACCTCATTTTTTAGGATAAGAGAATCTTGACACTTCATGCTTAATATAAAAGAATCTTGACACCTCATACTTCTAGCTTTTATTTGTCATGCTACTAGCTCTTGCTTGTCATCATGAATTTTGCCAACACATGCTTCTAGCCTTGACAACTCATAACTAGCTTGCTTTGTCATAAAGAGTAGGCTTGCATTGTCATAAGATTTTTGTGGCTCATGTTGTTTGTTTATAAGTAGCTGTGTAAGCTACTTGCCTCATGATAGTTTAATAAATGCTACAGTTGTTAGACTCTTTTAAGAGTACTTAATTTACTTACAAAATCTTGTATTTAAGGCTTAAACATTGAGATTTAGCAAATAAAGAAACTAGGGTGTTACACTAATAGAGCTCGTCATTCACATTTCTATTGCACTTATCTTCTTTACATGATGTGTATTGATACGTAAACGGGTGAGATTAGTTTGATGAAGTTTTCACCACTAAGACTAACAATCTGATTAAAATCGAGGATAAGATTAATCAAATTGGAAAAAGTTGCATAGTTCTAGTGATAAAGCAATAGCACCACACTAACAATAAACAAGAGTCCACTTCGTTTGTGTAAAAAACACTCAAAATAGCTCCACAAGCTGACGTATATTCAAAATCAGAAGATGGTCCTCATAATACAACTTGGGAGCCATTATAAAAGGCTGGAAATTAAAGCAACACTTATTTCTTGAAAGATCAAAATCCTAAAGATAGATCAATAGTTGGAAGGTAAATACAGAAAACATTAATGGAACCAATTAGGATAAAGACTCAATTAAATGGGGCAAGATATTAGGTTCTTCATGGGCACTGAATTAGACTCAATTAAATGGGGCAAGCCATAAGGTTCTTCATGGGCACTGAATTAGACTCCATTGGGCTGCTAGAAAATCACACCCCCTCCCTCCCCCCCCGGTGCACAAAAAGTGTTTTAAATTCCAATATAGCTTGAGAACCTAATTCAGGTAGAAGTTGAGCATGACTCTTAGAATGGGCCTGTTTTGCACCAAAGGAATTTTCTAGATGAAAAAGACTTGACCGTATGTACTTTGTAGCCCAACATTGTGCCCTAACAAAGGTGTCACTGACATCCTAAAGAGTTGCTTCTTGGCTTCAATGGGACTCTTTTCTTTGTTTTTAACAGTCGACTAAAATTCCTTACTATGTAGTCTAGTCAAAGACGAGATCTATGGAAAATGGAAAGTACAGTTGTTGATATTCTTGAAAAAGAACTAATCACATTCCAAGTAGCAAGAAAAAACAAATACCAGAAATCAGAGAACACATAATGGTATTTAAGTAGAATGTTGACTCCTGAAAAAATGACGGTTGGTACAAAACATATATCACAATTGTTTTTCAAGAAAAATTTCATCTCAAATCTCAATACAGTGGAGCATTTAAAATACGATGATCCATTGGACAATGTCACAATGGAGTAGCATACAGATAAGTATTTTAGTTATGATAAATATCTAGATAACATTCAATCTAAATAACTACTTTGACACACAATCCACATAAGTCATGCATGGTGCATAACTCCAAATAGAAACAAAACAATGATAGTAAGTACCACCAACTGAACAGTGGGCTCTACAACAACATCAAGACATTTGATGGCATGTATGTAAATGCAAAAAATATACTGCAAAGCAAACCAACCAACTTCATATTTAATGATGTACAATCCATTCAAATGAGCATAGACTTGATGCGTATGCAACTATTTCTTCCAGCACAATCAACTGAAAGCCTGAAACAACAATAAGAGTTACCACCACCTACCAGGAATGATGGCATGCACAAAACTGATAACCTGACTTGCCAGAGCCAAGTGTTTAGATGTAATAGACTTCAAACCTGAGACCTGCAGTGTCAATTCAACTGAATATAACTCAACTTAAATAGGATAAAGTGGCTTCAAGGGAAGATCTTAAGATGTCCATAACATGAACAACACATTCGAGTGGTTAACTCCACATCATAAACAGAGAAGTTCGATTAGTTGATTACTAAAGAAGTTTCACTGTTGCTTATACCAAAAGCACAAATATGGTTAACCTAGTTGAAGAGTCAAGTAGCACAACCACTTAGAGCATAAATGAGGATGTAAGATTGTAAGAAGTTACATTCAGCCTACAGATGAAGTAGAATGTTAATCATCATTGCGTCCTCCCTTAGAGAGTTACAACCAACAAAGAATCACAAAAGCAAAACACATAAAAAATAAGCAAAAATTAGGATCCAAAATGGACCTCACAGATCTCAATTGTCGCTAGGTTCTCCTCTAAAAGCTTCTAAATTAGCTTAGAGATGAAAGCTTATCAATGAATTATCAGATAGAATGAAGCAGCCCACGAAATTCCAGCAGCTTTTTACCAGCTCAACCTACTTGAACAAAAAAAATTGCCAATCTCGAGTTCCAACCTTCACCTGTTATTGATACAGAAGCATCTGGAGACTGGAGTGTGCAGGTCATATAGCCAATATTAAGAATAACAAGGGAAAGAACATGTCCATGTTTAAGAAACACTTGAGTAACATACCATACATAAAGAGCCCTAAAACTAGAACCAAAATGGAGGTGTTCAGAAGTTCACAAATGCATTCCACATAGAGTATAAACAGGGAATGATTGATCACAGTTTGGGATTCTATATCAAGAGATCATTGATGTGCTTCCATTTTTTAGTTAGTCTAAAGGCAGGCACAAACTGAAGAGAATCGATTAAAGATAACTGTAGATCATATGAGATGATGAAATGTTCTCATGGTTAGATCTGATGCAATATGGTTTGTTACTTTGTTATGGTTTTTCCTTTACTACTTCATCCATGCTTACATAACTACCAGTGAGTGTTCATACCAGAACATATGCATCAAGAATTCAAAGCTAAGTCCAACAGACATTGTAGATCACGTTAAAAACGAACTAATTAGCATATAGGAAGGTGTTTATTCAGAAGTGTTGGTATCAAAGAATATACATGGCAATGGTCTAGTTTAACCATTTTGTTATGCCATTGTTCAATAAGCACTTGACTATTGGCCTGGTGAAAGCAATTACCTGCATGGCGCCAGCACCAAGAACAAGCTGACAAGTCCTCGTATTGAAAAACTTCAACATTTCAAGAACACAACGAATAACCTCAGAAGAGAGTGTTGGAAAAACAGTATTCATATCAATGTACTCCGACAACATCTTCAGCAAGATTAAGCCACTGACAAACAACAAGATTTTAGTTATTCCTGAAATATGCAGCCTAACTCACACAGGTGCTATCTGAGTGGAGAACATGATGTCCATGAAAAGACAACCACTGCAGAGTGTCTATTTTTTACACATTAGCAGGAGCATATAGCATTGAAAAAGAGTACAGAAACATGAAGAAAACACCAAATGTAGATAACGAAAAGTATATAAAGATCACTAACCTGTTTACCATATGGTACCCAACACCTCTGAAGGAAAGCAAATGAGAAGAAGGTTTTCCATGCTCATTCTTGACTTTAATGCCATTAATCTGGGCACATAAGTCAAAAGGTCAGCATTGTTTTCATCAGACCTCAAACACAAAAGCAGAGATGAATTCACCTGCTCAGTGCTATCAGATACATCAGCATGCTGGGATGACAATTTCATCACCTGCTCTTGTGAACTCGACAATGATACACCATCATCTATCAGGGCCGAGGAAGCATTATTGTTATGAACCACTTCATCATAGCCTTTAGCAAGACCATTAGAATAATTATCCAAGTCTCCAGAAATTAGAGATTCCGAACAAAAGGCTGAAATAACAATGGCCCTGTATTCATACGGAACATCGACTTCAACCCATTTTTCTTGATCAAGCACAGCCTTCAGTTTTGTCATCTACTAGGAGCAATGAAACAAGTTGTCAATAACCAATAAACAAGCAACTAAATGAATTACCAAATCAAAACTCACCCGAGATTCATGCTGAAAATCAACAAAAGCCTTGGCCTGAGACTGCAAAGTTCCACGAATACTATATCCTAACCTTCCACCAATCTGTTTATGTGAGCATCAATTCTTATTATAGGCACATACGTATTCGAGAATATCTAATTTGAACTAATGAAATGTCCAAGAAATATGGTAGCACCTTCTCCGTTGCAGTTATGAATTCTTGAGACATGTTGTATATGTGTAGGAAGTCTTGTACCCTAAGCCTTGGATGAAGAGCAGCACGAACACCAAGCAGCTTTGCCCATCTTCCATGAGCAGCATCACAAGCAGCAAACACGGCTTCCGTGTTTTCTCTCAAGACATCAGCCCTATCAAGGAAGACCTTGCCAGTGTTCAATATAATCCACTGAGAAACCAAGACAAGTACCCCTCTCACACAAAGAACCCAATATTAGCCGGAGTTAAGTTGGGTCAGCTACCCATGTTCTAAATGTCTGCTCTTTTCTTTGTAGCACATGATCTTATGTACAATAAAGCAACTTCAAAACTTATACCAGAACAATTTCTAGTAGTAAAATTACTAGGAAACAGCTAAAGATAAAAGACTGATGCGATAAGAGAACTCCAACCAAAGGGTCTAGATCCCAAACTATAATGGCGATATTGGATCCTCATTTCCTCTTTAAGTAAATGCAAGTACTACACTAATCCAAGAATGCATGCCATGTTGATTACAGCACGGAAACAAAGAAACTAGTCAAAGCTGACATTGATGGGCCTAGTTTCATATCCAACATGCTTTGAATCATCTCACAATGATCAGCAGCAACTTCACAGCAGAGTCAAATGAAGTGTTTAGATGGCAAAGACCTATCTTAACAAGCAGAGCTCCAATGCAGCACACAACCTAATTGAAAGCCCAATTCTACAGCAATAATAATACCAAGGGCAGAGCAGGAGGTAATGGAAAACATAAATTACATTGATGTGCCTATCTAACAAGGTAAGGTTACTTGCAATTAAAGAAAAGCATGCTTTAGAGAGATTAGGCAGTACTATAGTGAAGAAACTGTATTAACATAAACAAACAAAAATGAACAAGACAGTGGTGGGCTTGGTCAGTGTAGAAACTCGGCAACAGAACATATGCTATAAGTGGTTAAACATTACATAATGACCCAAGAACAAATTAGCAACAATATTGCAATCATTCACCTGAAATTTTTGGACATATTTGATGGACTTGTTGCATCATTTCCTTTTTCCTGAAATGTAGGAACTTTGATAGCATTCTTTTTAACAGAATATGTAACAAAAGAATCAGCCAGACCATAATCAATCTGAGCCGTTTCTGCACTCAAAGCACCATGAGCAATTGCATCAGCAACTGAATCGGCAGCATAGTGGCCATCAAGATTGGACATGATCCACTCAATGGATTTTTTAACTTCAGCAGCTTGGAGTAAATGTGCCTGCATTCACTAATACAATATAAATCAAGTTACATATTATTGATACACAAATTTAAGTCCAAAATAATAACCAAAAGAGAATCTTCAGTTAGAAGATATGAGTGTATATAGTAGCATTTGCCAGTTATTGCAAGGTAACCGAGATGTAAAAACAGTTTAGATTATTCTTTTTTACAATCTTGCATAAATCAAAAATAGAACTATTCTCACACTTTTACACCATATATAAATAACCAATATGGAGTGTAACATTTGACTTTGACATGCAAGTTGAATGCATTGCAGCTTCATTGCATATACTTCAGTTACATTCCTTCCATCTGATGAAACTTGCAAAATTCCTCCTTGCTGCCATGGTTAAACATTTTCTTTTATATTGACTTATTAATCGGATGGGAGTACGTGGAGATGGATAAGGGTGGCAGACTAGTTGTGGGGACCTGTAGCTCGCATGGTTGGCAAAGGGGAGGGCGAGTGGTTTCTGTGGTACTTGATTTGTGTGTGTTTCACCTTATCTTACCTTGTGTATGTTTTCAATGTACCCAATCATTATCTTTTTTCCTCGTAATATGCTCATCATGTGCTAGCCTCTGGTCTTTTTACATGTTTCATCACACTCTTGCACAAGCCTGGGGTCTTCACAGGAACAACCACTGTACTCATTGTTGGTAGAGAGGTCTACATACATCTCAGCCTCCCCAGACCCTACTTTCGAATGGGATTTAGTGGGTCCGTTTGGTTTGTTTGGTTTTTTTTCGACTTCTTAATCTCAAATTACTTGCTTGCTCATTCTCCTCATTACCAAGTATTATGAGATCGATTTGGTTCAATTTTCTAATTTGCTATGACAGAAAGGTCTTCAGGAAATTCCGTTAAGAGTCAAATATTACTCTTAAACTATGTGCTTGGTCAAAAAAATTGCAATCATCACGATAGGTGAAGAATAAAGATTAAATTAGAAGTGCAAGTGGGTGTAGTACAGGAATGAACACAAAAGAGTCTATTAGAAAAGGAAAGAAAAAAATACAAAATAGAAGAAGGAAAAAATGTTATCTGATAAATGATCCTAGTCATACACAGCTCTTTTAACAGGTGTAAGTACATCAAAGGTGGCATTTACTTTGTGCTGGAGGGACCAACCTTTGTTTTTTCTCTCAGAAGACACTCCATTTTGAAATTCTACTTTAGATGGTGCTTGAGGCCATTCATAAACTTGCATGGAATGAAGAATCCTATGAAAGGACTAACTTGATAGTAGTTAGAATTAAGCATGGGTGAAGGAAGAGAAAATCAGAGATGGAAACAAGAACAGAACCATTGAGCATTAGGCGATTCCAAAAGAAGCCACTTGGAATGAATTAACAAGATTGATCCATCAAGAAAACTGAACAAAATGGTGAGTACTGCTTGTTTTCTTATTAGTTATACTGCCTAATCTATTTAAATCATATATAGTATTATCTTTATAATTTATAAGATGTCATTGTCATTACTATCAAAGGTTCTCACTAATACAAGAGAATAAATTAAGTGACCAATATAAACTCAATGCATCTTTTATTTCCACCATAATGAGAACACAATATCTAACTTTATTAGAGCATGTGCAAAAATTCAGGGGGTGGTGGAATTACATAAGCTACTCCCCTGGACCAAGATAGGTTCTATATTCAAGGGACCAAAGTCTAAATATTTGTATGTCAAAACAAGTGTATATACTAATATCGTTATGCATTACCATTCTACACCGACTTATTCACTTGATTACTTATAGATTTTACAGTAGTTTATATGTAATTGAAAACATGTTTTTGAGTTAACCCTCCAATCCAGTCCTCACACTAAAAATTCCAATGCCCTCGTTACCTCTCCATCCTCAAATACTAAACGCCTCACCAAGAAAATCAAAACCTTTCTAATCTATCTCTTGGTTCAATGCTGACTAACACCATCACCCCCAATAAATCACATCTCGTCCAGCATCTTCCAGATTGTCAGTGATGGTAAATCCATGGACTCTCTTTCCCAACACAGCTGTGGTCTCCAATCGACTAGAACAGACCAAGTTGAAATATGAGTTGCAAGATGTGTGGTAGAAACACTTCTATCTCTTCCAAATCTCAAGCATCAGCCTCTCTTTTCTCCAGTCCACTATTATCTGATTTCTCCAACAGTCGCACCTAACCATCCTCCAATGTTTCTTTGGCGACACAAATGTACAATCTGGCCTCCATGGCAGTCAAAGGAAAAAAGCAGCAGGGACATGAAAAAATAGATGAAGTGTGTTAAATAAGTGAGAGGAACCAGTCCCCTCCCCACCTAATCATATCGGGAACAGGTAAGCCTTCTATAATGGATCACATATGTTCTAGGCTTCCTGGTTGGACATTCCTAGAAGAAAAAGAACCTGGAACTTTAACCTCACCTCCCTTTCTCTAATTGTTTTTATGGCTGCCCATACTTCACGTTCTATTGAACTATGTCTTTATCGGTTATAAGAATCTAAAATTATTGTGTCAGGTATGCAGAAAGTAAGTAGACTCCTCACCAGCAGTTTACATAACTTGTGTGAGCTCCAAACATTCATGAATCAAATTCAGATCATGACAAGAAATTAATAAGGTATAATTACCTGTACAATCCTGAAAATAGTGTCAAGAAGTAGAACAAAACTATCAGAAGAGAGGCTTCGTAATTTACTGGCAAGTGACAAGCCTCCACCTGCACCAGCATGTACTTAATGAGCAAAGAGCAATAGAAATTTGTTATCATGTTTGGATTTTCCAAGTTTTTTTTTTTTTTTGCTATTTTAATAAACTAAAATCGTTGTACTGCCAAAAGCTTTAACCCCACCTCAAAATTACTTGTCCAAGGGTTCCTTTATTTTTAAGTACTGTGCATGATGGAAGTATCCAGTCAGGGACATCCAACATATAGCTCCATGTCAGAACGAAAATTAGTTGAAAACTTGAAATACATACACGCCTGATATTGCATTTTTATTTTTTTGGAAGAGTGAAATTCTTTCCAATGCCTTTGTCCAATTAAAAGAGAGTAAGCATTCATTAGGTCATATCACATCAAATTGTTGGAGAAACAGATGACCAATGGAAGATAATGAAAGGAGTAAATTATAGCATTCACTTTATAATATGAACACACCATCGTTATCGACAATTCGCTCGCCAGGCATAAAATCGGAGTCCAAAGGTCTGGCGACAAGAACTGGAAGCAGCTCTGCTACAACTGACTTGATTGCAGTTTTCATATCAGATGTTACTGTATCACGATATACTCGCAACACAGCAGGCAGTTTTGCCTGAAAATCATAGACATAGACGACATCATAGTCACTCATGTGATATAGCTTTTAAAAATTATGAGCTTTTAATAAAGTAGGCGAGGTAAACATTCGACCAAATTTCCATATTGATCCTACATCTTTAATGCTCCTAAAATTTGAGCATATATGCCAAACATGCACAACTCACTACGTATAAGATCAATTTTCATTCTTTGAAAAGGATCTGTCAAAACATCGGCTATTTGATATCTAGAATAAGCTTATATCAGCTTAATAGACAGATGAGCAAAGCGTACAAACCACCTTTTAACAAAGTGATAATCGACATGTATATGTTTGGTGAACTCATGACGTATTTGATTCTTAGATGCAAATGCATGTCTCATTATCACAATGCATCTTATCAAATGGGATAATGAATTGATCAACTCATGTATGAAACAACGTACCCATGACAACTCACAAGTTATCCATATCATAGCCCGTGTCCCAATTACTAGTTAATTCTCTAGTTGGCTCAATCTCAGTCAGTCATCGACTGTCTGATTCCAGTTACTGGTTAGACACAAACTGAGTTCACTGCTGTCCATCAATTAGGTAGCTGTGTGAAAGTATAAACTGTTGATGTACGCAGAGGCTGAATTTTGGGGGATGGCCAAAGGTGTACGTGCATTTGTGAACTACTTTAGTTAACGGTTATCCTTAAAGATCTCAAGATTAATTGGGATGGCCCTGTGAGACTCTATTGTGATAACAAATTCGTGATCAATATAGCTCACAACCCGATACAATACATTGAACTCAATTGAAGTCAACTATTTAAGAAGATTGTATGATTAGTTAGTAATTTTAGGAGATCCCTTAGATTTAGGCCTATACAATTGCGTTTCCATTTTGATAGGATATCCCATAAATCATGGGATCTCATTTAGCGTTAAGCATTTCTAGGATGCCATTCTTGTATATATTTGTGGTGCAAATTTGGATTAAAATATAAAATTCCCACAAGAAAATATCATCACATGCAAGGGCTCGTTTGCATTAACATCTGGTGCAAAATACAATCAATACTAAATGGATATATAGAAAAGATGCTGTTTCTTCATATCAGTTCACCCTTTTATCAGGTCCTATATCATATACCCGCCCAACCCTCGCTTTCGATCACCTTAAAGATGGATAACTTTCATCCACAACTAATAATAAATTATCAGATTTGTTCTCAAATATCTTTCGAATAACAAGGACTCCAGGAACAAGTCACTTTTAGGTACTTCTTTGGCTCTAGAACACAGGAGTGAATGTGACCATTGGCTCACATAACTAGCCCCTAAGCATTCTGATTGCCAAGGGTTTACTGTAATGTCAACGAACAGCTGTTTCCATTCCATTATTTGTAGTAGTAACACCCATAACTATTTTTTCATCCACATTTTCCAGATATATCATATATACTAACAAGATGAAGATACTCACAGTTCTAAGCAAACCAATAATTAGTGGTAGAAGTCGATCACGAAAACTAGAGGCATCTTCTTGATGCAATTCTACCTACAGCAAGCCAAATAATTCAATTAGTGTCACGGTCCATAGAGGATTCTGCCACAAAAATGATGTACATGAAAGCTCTTCCTACTTTGTTATCTTCGACATTTCCAGTTGAGCTCGCCCTCGCTTTTGCCTTTGCTAATATTATCTTATCCATACCTCCAGAATCACTGATTGATACACGTAGAAACTCTGCTGAAAGAATGCTACAAGATAAATTCCACAAGTCACTATAGTAATCAATTTCCATGCCAGAAACTGTGTAAGAGCATATATATACAAGCACAAAGTTGTTTTGAAAGATATAGCAGATATTGCATGATATAATGAGATATAGAACTATATAAATAAATGGAAACACAAACATTTCCATAAACCAGTCATTTCTAAGGTTTTTGAGATGAGAAATACGATCATAACAGGAAAGAAGCAAGGATTTTATCTTGAATGTGCATTAGTTAGTTCCAAGGAGCTCTAACACCTGCACTTGTGAAGGTGTGAGTCTCATCCACCTGAACCTCCCCTCCCGCCCCCACCCCCTTCTCCCCCTACAAGAAAATTAAATATGAAGTAAAAGATATACTAGTCATGGCATTTGGTGCAAGCATGGCATTAACCCAAGAATAAGCCAGGGCAAATGGCAACGAACAGGGTGTGGACCATTTTACAAAACTAAAAATAAATAAAAGAATGTTCTGAATTATAAAAATGGACGTAAAATCACGTATTATAGAGGTATCTCTTTTGGTGTTCGAACTTCATTAGCTAGTACTTCTTCTCAAAAAAAATTACTGAACTGTTGAACTTTATTATCCTGTCAAAATGTATTTCTTGTGCCTACTTCATCATGCCCCTACAGAGAGCCAAAAAAAATACAAACAACCAACGATACCGGCACAATGAGTGTGGTTGAAAGCAACAGTCCCACCCAAAAAATCTAGAACAAAAAATAGTAAAAATGAAGAATCTGTTTGACTCACTCATGCTAAGAATGGTGAATCTTGCATATGGTTGTTAGTGGGTATTACATGACTATTTAAAGAATCACCAATTCTAGTTTTATTTAGGCAAGGTATCAATGCTAAGGAAATAGATCATCTTTCTTATATCATTATACTACTTACATACCATAATTGATGCAATAATTTACATTTCAGGATGCCCGATATTAGATACAAGATTTCTTTTTCCCAAAAATATAGTAAAACTTAGACCCTTCAACAATAACTATTATCAACTCAATGGATGCTAAGGATTCGACCACAATCCTTTCAAACTAATTAAATATAAATCTCTCTCTGCAGAACAACAAGCATTCTGTCATGACTAGTTGGTGTATGCTCCAAAGATTATTGCACCATTCTGATTCTCTACGTAGACCATATTGTGCTAGCAGAAGATGACCCCCATATTGTGCTGGGAAACAGTTCCGTATCTTGAACAAAATTTAGTCCTTTCTAGGATATGGGTATCAGAATCCCTGATCCTTTGTGGAAAGAAAGTACATTGATGCAAATGAACAGGCTCACATATGTTTCAGTGAGAAAAGCTACAGTCCAAGGATTGAAGCCCCTTAAATCCAAAAGAAGTAGACAAGATTGGTCAGCAAACTCGATTACTGTCAGTGTCTGAATATTGCATGCTCCATGGTTGTAGTTAGAGTGTGTGTGTTTGCACCTTGCCCCATACAATGCAATCTTATTCTTCACATCTTGGAGTACCTCAAGCAAGCAGGTAGAAGAATTATAGACTCGTATCAAGGATACTTGAGCAGCAGAAAGTAAATTTCTTAGATAGAAATTGAGGATGAGTCCAAATGCTCAAACATCCAGCATGTATCTTTCTAGGTGGAAACAAAAACCTTGTCTCAAAAGGACAACTAGCGTATCGTTTATCATTTTATGGCAAAATCTGAATATTATTGCCATGACATATTTCGTTTGTGAAATTCCATCAACGACATATCTCCAAATTTGGCACTTCTGTTACAAATAATCAATATGCAATCCATGTAGATAGTAACTAAGCCTTCCATAAGAGAGCCAAGAGCATTGATTGTTGAGAGTAATTGTCATAGTAAGGAATCACTTTCTCCTTTTCTGTGTGAAAATTCAACAAAAGCTGCCACTTCACCAAATCCTTGATCAGTCGACTAATTACATGTGACATAGAGTAAATCTACGGCCACCACCAACGCTATCATCATCAATCTTACCACTTTTTCCTTTTTTGAGGAAAGAGTTGTAACTATAAGGAAAGAGAATGTGTATCATATCACATGTGCTTCTACGTATGGAAATTATGGTGAGTTTTGGTGGTAAAGTGGGTGGTAGCTATACATTTTCTCTTTACCATATGCTTGGTGTAATAAACGTGGATGCCAGCTTCAGCAGGTAACGAAACTTATGGTAGTCCAGAGCATGGTAATACTGTAAACCTACCTCAAAGACATATTTGGAATCATCGATATGGGATAACCTTAACCCATCCGAATTGCTCTCCATTTCTTACCTACCTCTTTGTTGGTTTAATAGAGATAAAGAAAAGATGAAATGAGATTATAACAAACTGAACCTTCACCAACAAAAGGCTTTGACGAGCTTTCTCGCAAGCTCTTTCTTCTCGGAATCGGATTGGACTGGAGAATGCCATTAATTGAAGATACTAGTGTGAAGTCAACAACCATCACGTCATCAAACTATGCCTAATTATAACACTATGTTATCTAAGAAACTAGTATTTTGCACTTTTTCCCTTGCTTTCTTTTCTGATCGGCTGAAGGTAAAATTGGTTAGATATGGGTAAGATACTTTGTTATGAAACCATCTTTAGATGATAAATTTTGGTTAACATTACAAGGTGTGTTGTTTAACTATACCGGTTCATCTAACTCGATGAATTGCCTTCCTCTAAGTATGTGCACATTAGCATGTGACATCTAACGTGATTTTTAGGTCTCCAACTTTGTACCTCAACATACAGGGACATTAACTCGAGTTTTTCACATTACTAATCCAGATCGATAGATCTAAGTTTCAGCTACATACATAAGTTATATCATACCAAACGAATATGTTTTATCAATCCAATTGAGAGTATTAAGGGATTGGATACAAATATTACTATGTATAATATCCTCAAAGGCACAGCTCCTCCTATCCTATGCTTATTCAAGGGAAAAACACTTAAAAAAAGCAAGAATAAAAGTACATATACAGTGAATAGATATACTAACCTATTTACAGAATCTACTGCACCAGCTACATGATCCCCAAGGTGTCGAAAACAATGTAAGCCAGTCAGTTCATCGTCATCCTATAGCCAAACAAGGGTTAGAGAAAAGAAACCATTAATTAAAAAAAAACAAGCAAATTTGTGTTTAGGAAAGCTCATCAACATATTGTTTTCTATCTTAATTTGTGCCAAGAAAATATTGCAATAATTATACGATGGGATGCTTAGAAATCATTTTGTCATAAATTTCAGCATGCATCGGAGACAGTTGAAGCAAGTCATATGTTGACCTCAATTGCAATACAGGTGTTTCTGCCCATGCTATCAATCCTCATCAAAAAGTATTTTCAGACTAACTAGCATCTATCCATTGATCACTATAACAAGTAACGGATTCCGTAGTTGAACACCCTAGCCCATGTGACAGCATTCTCTATCCACGTTTCATCATATAGACGGATTTTATTTCTATGATAAGACGGCTTTCCTCAAATCAGTACATATTATTTAAAATCTCAAATTTAAATCTACATCAGGATCAGGTACAACATCAATTTATACTTTTCTAGTAATAGGGGGCTATTCTCACATAGTTAGTGCACTAGGTACAGCCAAGGTGTTCATTGATGGATAGACTTGTGAGCCATGTAATATGGCTAACTCCAAAGATGAATATATCGAGTCAGAGTAACTACATACAGAGCAGGAATGCCTCAAAGAGACAAGAAGCCTACTAAATACTTTGCATACCAAAAGCATGTTATACCAATGCTCTTCATGTGTATTATTGCTCTAAGCTTGTTATTTCTACCAATTTGTCGAAATTTATTGCTAATGTTTACATTATGCAATGGCCATATGTAGCATACAGTTGAGCACGCCACTTTGCACTTAAAGTTTGTCCTGATACTGTCCTGGTATCAGTGTTCCATTGAGCGAGCAATTTAGTTTCTCTTTTCTTTTTTCCATGGGATATGATGTCAATATTCTAGCCTAGTCATGTACTCAATCAGAATATAATTAGATAGAAGTAATAAAGGACTAGGAAAAAATGTCATTGCATCATTCATTTTTTTATGCACAAAAAAATAAGATATTTGGTTCTGATAAGAAGCAATTGCACTCCTAATTTGTTGATTCTTCGAAGATGCAGGAATCATAAAAGTTGGTGGAAAGAAATAAGCTGCTTTTTAATTCCTATTACCACCAGGTAAACAAAAACAGTGTCTTTATACACTACTTAATTATAGTTTATAGAAATGTAACTCTGATTTAATCAAGTGGCAGATGGGTATTGTTTCCATATACCAGAAACTGCTTCAAATCGTCAGTAACGTCTAAAGCTCCAGCACAATCAGCAGATGCAACAAGCTGCATACACAAATCAAAGTGTGTCAAATTATTGTATATTTAATGATGTATAAAAAAGTCATATCTGAATCACAATCAACTTCATGTGTTTTGAGTAAAAAGTGGCATATCACAAAACAAGAAAGTTCATGTGGACAATGACCTAAATATACTGCTTCAGATCACCAGTTTCCACAACTGTAAAATGCTTAGCTTTCTTTCAGTTTAACATAAAGAAAAGAAATTTTGTGTATATATCCTAGTAAATCACAGGAAAATTAAATGTTGGCATCAACTTTGGATGAATAAAGTACTTGAAGAAGCAAACCACAGCTGCAAATTTCTAAACAACTCTTCTTAATTTTGAATTACATGGGCGCCACAGAATTACCGAGTGCGATGCCATTTTCTAATTCCGTGCCAGCTTATATGTTGGTACAAAAAGGAATTGCAGGTCTCACTTGAAGAAATTCCACTTATGTGTTTCTCATCTACCAAAATGTTCCCCAGTTTCAAACATCCAGCCCTCCGTGTATACATTATCTGCCACAAGCCAACTACCCTGTGGTGCTCTTGGATTTCCTAGATTCTTTTGTATCTCTTTCCTCCGGATATATTTCCAGGGTTTGATAAGGTTTGCCTACATGATACAAGTAAAAGATTCTGCAACTCTTAAAGCACCTTCAGAGGAATAAAGAAGATTTGCATAGGTTGCTAGGAGTGAATCAGTGAGTGCATCAATGGAATTGTAATTAGATAAAAGTAATAGAACACGATGAAGCAACAAGTTTCTCGAATAGCCCACAGAGTGCCAACAACAGAACATAAACAGAAGGTATACCAACTTAAGAGCTGCAAGAGATTGGTTGACATATAGTATAAGCCTAAGCTTTTGTTGCAGTGCCAAAAGATCACTCCTGGTGAGATTTAAATCCTGAATTTGTCGAGCACAATCCACTAAATCTACATCCAAAAGCCTAATGGTCTCCTTCAATTCACGGATTCGCTTACACCCCTCTACTATTTTCAAATTCATATCCTCCAATTGACCTTGTGCCTCAAAGAAGGAATTCGAACGTAACGAGATCTCCTTCACCAAATAAAGCTCCACCACGTCCAAGTACTGCGACAACTTCTCTTGTAACACCGAGTTCTCTGCAACAGTAGAATTCGGGCAGGCTGCCCGGAAGGTTGCCCCGTCTTCCAGTGCAAAATCCTCCTTGAAATACAATGCTGGCACTTCGCGTAAACAGGCAACCAGAGCTTCCCCTGCCCTTTCATCATGGTCACGATCAACCTCATCCCTGCTCTCTTTATTGGAATGGTTTCGGATGTCTTCAAACCTGCTATGATGTTCGGCAATTGATAACAGGTAAGATGTGAAATGGGATCGAGTTATTTCTGAACCAGGGGGTTTAGTGGCGGGTGGCGCAGCAAATTCAGGGACCGCGACGGCGGCGGAGGAGGACCACCAACCCACCCAGGAGGAGTCGGCATGTGGGTTATTGAGAATGGAAGCCAAACTTTGGCTACTCGCATCGGAGACTGTTTTTGCCAATAACGAAGAGGGGGAGGAGTTGTGTCGATCTGCGATGCCCCTTCCCGATTTAGGGAAAGGCTGTGGATCCATTTTTGTCTCAATTTCTACCTCATGAATCAAAATTCTAGTGGGTTTCCATTTGAAATCTCAATGTCGACTATGGCTTTGACTTGGATTATCCAAGGAATCAATTGCAGTCTCAAAAATGGGGATAGATCGGAGAGTGTACCAGGCACTCTGGTGTTCGTGGGGTGACGAAGACTTCAAGCAGCTTGGGTGATCTTTCTTCTCGAATAAATTCTATTCTATAATTTCTTTAAGAAAAAGACAAATTGTGTTTTAATTTTTGTAGGAGTGAATTACATCTAGTGAATACCGTGTTTTTAGGTTTCGTGTCTCAAAATTATAAAATACATTTAAGGTGTGTTTGGTTTGTAAGAATGTTTTTGAGGGATTTGGATTTTATGAGATTTGGATCGGATTGGATTTGAAATTCATTCATCTGTTTGGTTTGTAGGATTTGGATTTAGAATTTTTTTTGTAATTATTTATGGATGCCTTTACACGCCCCTGTTTATACTATAATGCATGACAGGAAATTAGGGCAGAACCCTTGTGCATTTTCTATTCAACAATAGGGCAGAACAGTAGTCAGTCCTGGATTGGTTTTGTATTATCAATGCATTATCAAATTAAAACCCCAAAATGCAGACCAGAATCGAGCATTTCTAATGCTATAGAAAAGGGACGCGACGGGAAGGAAGCGGGAGGCGTGGGTGAAGCAATCGATGGGAGGGAAGCGATGGGTGAAGGAAGCGGGAGGCGTGGGTGAAGCAATCGATGGGAGGGAAGCGATGGGAGGGAAGCGATGGGTGAAGGAAGCGGGAGGCGTGGGTGAAGCAATCGATGGGAGGGAAGCGATGGGTGAAGCAATCGATGGGAGAAGATGGAGAAGATGAAATCCCACGGGGATGGGATTTTAAAATCCCATGTATTTTCAAAGGATTTTGAAATCCATRGTTCACGGGATTTTAAATGAATCMTTGGATTTGAAATCCTACCATTCCTACAAACCAAACACAGGATTGGAATGGATTTCAAATCCAAATCCCCCCAAATCCATTTTAATCCCGCAAACCAAACGCACCCTTAGTGGTCTAAAATAGTGTTTTGGAGTGCAAACTAGTCTCTCCTTCTATCTTCGTTAAATGCATTATGTACACTCATGTGAGGGACAATTTTATCAGTTTGCCCTTTTTTCCCCACATCCCCTTCCTCTTCAACCAAGAAGATGCACCACACCACTGCCATTCACCGCCACTCCACACCACCGTTGCAAGCCAACTCCCACCCACCATCATTACAACCTAAATCCCACCATTTTCGTGAAACTAAATCAACCACGAGATGGAACACAAACTCAAGAATCAAACTTGCATAACCTATATTTTGTCAAAGAAGAGGAAAGGGACAGGTATTTCGCTGGAGAAGGGGAGGGGGACAAGGGGTTTGCCCGAAAGGGAGAAGGGAAGGTATTTTTGTAGAAAAAGAGAAGGGCAGTTGGTCAGTCGTTCAATGGGATGGGCATGGTTTCAACAACAAAAATGGAGACGGGATTATATACTATATTTATTATATATATATATATATATATATATATATATATATATGTATAATATTAATTTGTTTTAATTTTTAAAAAGAAAAGAAAAAGAGGGTATAATGACCAAAATGCCCTCATGTGAGGGGCACATGATTGGCTTAACGGAGTATGCTTTAATAGGGTTAGAAGAAGGGACTTGTTTGGGCTCCAAAATACAACTTTTAGACCATCAGTTTATTTTATAATTTTGAGGGACGAAAACCTAAAATGAGGTATTCACGAGAGACCAAATATGTAATTCACTCTTTTTTTAAAAATAAAATAATATTTATATCTAGAAGTATAATTGAGGAATACAGAGTATTTCAATATTGAGAATTTGAACTCTCATTCCACTTTAAGGCTTCTATCATCTCTCATTCTTAATATTTTTCTCAGATGTTTTGTTTTTTTAGAGTGTGAAAAGTCATTGATCTGTTATTGGTTTTGTGAAGTATAATGTTGTATTGGTATGATTCTATGTTTATACTATATTTCAACATGTTTATTATTTGGTCATCGGTTTGTATGTCTACACTAATAATTCGTAAACTTGAATTTTTATTTTTATTTTAAGAATATGAAGTAAATGTTTTATTTCAAGCCTTTATCGTATATCCAGGGGTTGCCAAATTTCATTGTTACATTTGTTTTTCGTCTAGTCTCAATATTCATGTATTTGGTATCTTGATTCACATACGTTGTTCTGTCCCTTGTATCTTGATTCACATGTGTTTGTATCTCTCATTCATATTTGCTATATTTGATGACCATTCGTATATATTGTATCTTTTTACAAGTATACAACATTTATACATTGCAGATGAAATTCACACACATTCATCACCTTTGATGAGGTTCGAATCCTTGACATCTAGAAATGTTGGTTAACTAGGTAATGCTAGGTCAATGGCCCTTTTGTATATCTTGATTGACAAAATGGTGTTCATCTCATATATGATGGTCTCTCTCGTACAAATCTAATGCTCTCTTGATTCACTTGATTGCTCCCCCCACCTTCTACTATTTTATAGTCAAACTTATACAGGCATCATCTTATCTTGATATCGTAGGTTTGTTTTCAATAGGTGTGTTTCATTGGTTTGAAGTGATGGTTCTTCAATTACTCTACCACAAATTGTCCATTTAATAGTTATTTTTTTATCCAAATTTGTCATCAAGTTTTATCATAAGTTTGATTTCGAAGGGAAAAAGTGACAATCATAGAAAAGGGGAAGTTGTACTTGCTTGTAAGATATAAATTGATTTTAGAGTGAACTACATATTTGCTCCCTCGTGAATACATGTTTTTTAGTTTTCGTCTCGAATTCATAAAGTACATTGGTAGTTCGAAAAATCGTGTTTCAGAGCCTAAACAAGTCCTTTCCACTAACACCATTACATGAGGTCCTGTTAACCCCATCACATGCCCCCTCACTTGAGGGGCACTTTAGTTTTTTTCACCTAATTTGAAATTATTTTAGAAAAAATTATATTAATATTTTTATTATAAAATAAATGAAAATCCTCCCTCTAATGGAAGCAACCGCCTATTTCTCTCAAACCTTCCCTCTACCCTAATTTGGATAAGATGCCCTTGAATTCCTCCCCCACCCTTTCAACTTTCCTTGCTCCAGCAAACCCAGATCTGCAGATCGAAGATGAGATGACGAAGTTCAAAGATGATGTCCCTGATTCTTTTCTGATTCTTTACTAAAGATCAGATGACATTATGCATACACGTCCACTTCCTCGTGATGATGCAATGCAGACCTATATCTTCTCCCCTTCCTTCTCAATGATGTAATGCAGACCCAAATATGTTCCCCTCCTTTCGAAGATTAAACATGTGGTAACCTAGATGTAGAAGATGAAGTAGGTTAAGGTTTCCAAGCATTCGTTCAAGCTACGAATTTTAGGTTTATTCCAGCCTCGAACAAAAGGGGTTTTCAAGCTTTAGATGCAAGGATCCAAGCCTCAAAAGAAGGCTTATCAATCTGACGATTTAGGGTTGTTCCAAATTGGTTATTGAATTTATGTTTTGTTCTAATCTAATTTTTTTTTTCATATTCTCTCTTAAATTTGGAAATTTGTAAATAGTTTTAAATTTAGAATCTGATTTAGAGTCTTGTTTGTATTTCAATCTACATTTAGTTTTTTTTCTTTTTTAAATTTAAAAATTTCTTGTTCTGATTTAGATTTCTTGTTTCTATTCTAATTTATGCATTTAGATTTAGATTCTTGAATGTTCATCTGGTTTTTTGTATTAAGTTTCCAACAACTGAATGTTTATGGATCTTTGAACATTCATCTATGTTTATATCTAGATTTTTGCATATATTCCTCTTCGTTTTCATCTGTTTTGTACTACGATTTCATATGTATGGCGGTGGTAGATAGCGCCGATAGGTGGAGGTGGGTTACAATGGATGTTCAGAAGAAGATAGGTGAGGAAGAAGAATATGGGTAAAAGACTAAAATGCCCCTCACATGAGGGGTATGTTGTAACACCCTGATTTTGGGTGTGTTTATTTTCAAGTTCCATATTTTATATTTCGACCTTAGAATAACTCTCAATATGTAGTTTGAGTCGGTAAAATATTTGGGTGAAAATCAAGTTAATTCATTTTCTGGAACACTTTCACACTTGGGGCAAGATCTTCACGCCCGTGAAAGTTTCTACATGCCCGGGGAGGTTGGGCAGAAAATTTTAAGGAGTTGGTTCTTTTAGATACCAGATTTTCCACCTTTTCTCTTCATTTTTACTACACTTACTTATCCTCTTTCTTATTTGGTTCTTGAGTTTCTACTTCTCTAAATTGATTTCTCCTTGCAGATTAAAGAGTCTTGGAGCTAAAGATTCAAGTATTGTGGTTATGAATTCACTATCATCTTCATCTCCTCCACCTCTTTCCCACCATTATTGACTTTGTTTTAAGGTTTTTTTCTCCTAAAGACCGTTTTGGTCGATTTTCTTGAGGAGCTCAGAGATTTTGCTTGTAGTTCAAAGTTCTTGAGGATAGAGATTCAAAGCTTTTGGATCCAAAGTCAAGATCTTCATCTTTGTTGATCCTCTCTCTCAGTAATTTGATGATAATCCCTTTTTCCTTCCACGTTGTATTTGTGTTTCAGTATTTTCAGTTCTAGCGATCATCACTGAGTATGTTCAGTGATCGCTGAAGAACTTGCATTGTAAATTCATCAGAGACAACAATACTTCAAGAAGACAACACTCACACCAAAGAACCTTCAGTGAACGTCGAAGACTGAAACTGAAGATTAGAGACTGGCGAGTACGTGATATGAAGCGGTATTCAGTGATTACAAGCCTGACTACATATGTGTGAAGACTGCTCAAGCTTCAGCGAATGATGATGAGACCTCCAGGTCATTCCAGCATTCAGCG